AGCTGCAGACTCGTTCACCACGACATGGGGGGGCTACCAGTCCTGGAAAGATGGACCGTGGACAGGCACAGCCACTGGCAGATCCAGACTGGGATTTTCTTGTAGCAGTCCACGCTGGTAAAGCATTGAAAGTCCACTATGTAATGACTTACCCCAGGCATGCATTGAACATGAAACAAATCATCTTTATGAAACTTAAAAGACTTAATTTCCTGCCCTTACCCCCCCTCCCCGGTCACACCGATCCCGACTTTTTGAAATTGTGCGACTTACAGTGAAGTCAGGCGATTTCCAAGTAGGAATGTCATTGCGAGTTCAGGTGCGATTTAGAGTTCAGGTATGATTGCGAGTTCGGGTGCGATTGCGAGTTCGGGTGCGATTTAGAGTTCGGGTGCGATTTAGATTCGGGTGCGATTTCGAGTTCGGGTGCGATTTAGAGTTCGGGTGCGATTTAGAGTTCGGGTGCGATTTTCGGGTGCGATTGCGAGTTCGGGTGCGATTAGAGTTCGGGTGCGATTAGAGTTCGGGTGCGATTAGAGTTCGGGTGCGATTAGAGTTCGGGTGCGATTAGAGATCGGGTGCGATTAGAGATCGGGTGCGATTGCGAGTTCGGGTGCGATTTAGAGTTCAGGTGCGGACACAGATGTCTATGCAAATCGCAACAAAAGTAGTGCATGCACGGCTTTAGAAATTAATACGGCTCCGACCAAGTTGCAACCGCACCGATATGACCGCTGTCATTCTAAGAAATAGTGTGTGACTTGGCATGCGATCTGCAAGTTGCATGGCATGCAAATCGCATGCCAAGTCGCACCCAGTGTGACGGTACTAAATGTGGACGTTAACTCGTGACAATAAATTTATCTTATGCTATTGAAAATGTTTTATTAAGTGTTTCTGCATGGCGACCACTTCCTGTTATCTCACATATATATATTCTTATTATATCCAAATTTACCCCCCTAACTCCTCCCACAGTTTTTACACTACATAGACAGTAATATACCGAAACGTGCGGATTGTTCCCGATTGGTGTGCTATTACTTTGTGGAACGTTTCGCCGAATGGTTCACGAAATATCGCCATTTTTGTGGTGAAATTGGTCCCATAGGAATGAATGGCGGAATGTTCAAAACTAGAGTGGGAGCTGACAAAAGCTAGAGTGTGAGCTGAAAAATCAGGACATGATTTCTAAACTGCCATCACTCACCCTCATTTTCAAGCCCACCTACACAAAATCTTATATCAAAACGTTCAGCTATCCCTGCTGCCACTAAAAAATGTCCACGGCTAAGCCATAGTCCTGATAGTTTTCACAACATGACCATTTTTTTTGCAACTCACGCCGCTGATTCTCACAATATAAAGCTCTTCGGTGTAGGATTTATAATTTTTAAACTACAACCATTTGAAAATGGCAACCCCCAGTGAAGTGAGCAAGTGGGAGCAGTTTGTTTTTAACCGCTTTTCTCTGCCCTTGCTGTAGAGTGAGTTGCCATAGGAACCCAGGTGTGTGAGCAGGCAGCAGAGTAGAGGCAAGAACATTTATTTCAGGTACTTATATAGCGCCGTCAATTTACGCAGCTCTTTATATATATATTGTACATTCACATCAGTCCCTAACCCTCAAGGGGTGTACAATCTAAGGTGCCTAACTCACATTCATACATACACATACAAGGGCCACTTTAGACAGGAGCCAATTCACCTACCAGCATGTCTTTGGAGTGTGGGAGGAAACCGGAGACCCTGAGGAAACCCACGCAGGCACAGGGAGAACATGCAAACTCCAGGCAGGTGGTGCTGTGGTTGGGATTCGAACCAGCGACCCGAGTACTGCCAGGCAGAAGTGCTAACCATTTAACACTACACACAAAGTGGTAGTTCTGTCACTGAACAAAAAGAAAATGCAATCCAGTTTTGCTTACATGGACGACCCTGAAATTCTAGTCCGGAAGAAGCTAGAGGACTACCATAACCCCTTCCCTGGGCAGTTGAGAATATCTAGAAAAAAAGCGTATCTAAACCCAAGAACTAACAATGGTAGTATTGCAGCTTATCGCCCCTTGGATGTGGTGGCTGCATTCATTTTCTTTTTTCCCTTTTCATTTTAGCCCGATGATCCTACCCATTAACATGCTTCCTGTGCTAGGGCAACCGCCATACTGAGAAGCAGGTAGTGTTAGGACTACACAACACCTCCCCCTTTACTGAATAACTGGAAAAAGTGTTTTGTAGTCCACAAAGATGGCAGGTAACAGAGTGGAATGGACTAGAGTACAGGAATTTTTGGTTTTACAGGTTTTTTTGGGCTGGATAAACATTTTGTTTCACTTGTAGAATAGATATTATTATAAAACACTTTCAATGGCATATTTAACAGACAGACCAAAAGGGAGCAAATAAAAGAAATGTATTGTGACACCCCGGTTTCAACAAGACCGACTTTGAAATCATGCGACTTACAGCGAAGTCGCACGATTTCAAAAGTCGGGGGACATGACGATTTCAGGTGTGATGTGCACTACATCTGACACAGATGTCTATGGAAATCGCATCAAAAGTAGTGCATGTACTTCTTTCGAAATTGGTGCGGCTCCGAGCAAGTCAGAACCGCACCGATGTGACCGCTGTAATTGTGGACAATGGGGTGCGACTTGACATACGGATTTGAAAGTAGCATGGCATGCAAATCGCATGCCAAGTTGCACCCAGTGCTACCTGTGTGTTACAGCTTCCATACACTTAAAACATACGGCGTATGGCCACGTGGGATCCCAGCTCTCACATTGTGCTCACAGTAAAACATATTCCCAGAAAAGCCTCCAGGATCTCAGGCTGTGAGGATGAAGAGTAGGGTGGGAGGCAGAGATCTGTGAGGATGAAGAGTAGGGTGGGAGGGAGAGATCTGTGAGGATGAAGAGTAGGGTGGGAGGGAGAGATCTGTGAGGATGAAGAGTAGGGTGGGAGGGAGAGATCTGTGAGGATGAAGAGTAGGGTGGGAGGGAGAGATCTGTGAGGATGAAGAAGAGTAGGGTGGGAGGGAGAGATCTGTGAGGATGAAGAGTAGGGTGGGAGGGAGAGATCTGTGAGGATGAAGAGTAGGGTGGGAGGGAGAGATCTGTGAGGATGAAGAGTGGGAGGGGGTGGGAGGGAGAGATCTGTGAGGATGAAGAGTAGGGTGGGAGGGAGAGATCTGTGAGGATGAAGAAGAGTAGGGTGGGAGTAGGAGAGATCTGTGAGGATGAAGAGTAGGGTGGGAGAGGGAGAGATCTGTGAGAGGATGAAGAGAGTAGGGTGGGAGGGAGAGATCTGTGTGAGCAGCAAGGGATTTCCGACACGCGTCCGTATGGGGCATTCTGCAGCGACAGCAGCAAGCAATGTCATATATTGGGTGTGGGAAGTTGTCTGACATGGAAGTCTACACAGGATGACACCTGACAGTTTTTCACCTTGTTTGTCTATTCCTGACTACCTCGTAACTAACTACCTTCATTTTGTAAAGTGCTGCGAAAACTGTTCGTACTGTTGGTTCCTCCCATGCCCGCCTCCAGGATTTCTCCAGGACATCACCTATCCTCTGGAACTCCCTACCCCAATCCATCAGATTATCACCTACTCTCCTCTCCTTTTAGGCGCACCGTGAAAACCCATCTCTTCAGGGAAGCCTACCCCACCCCCTGCTAACTTGCCGACCTCCTCCACTCTTCCTACCACCCCATCCCCCACAGCTATCTCCTCCTGTGCCCCTATCCCCTCCCTCCTAGATTGTAAGCTCCAAAGAGCAGGGCCCTCGATCCCCTCGTGTTTTGCATTGTATTGTTATTGTTCTGTCACATGTTCTGTCCCCCTTTGTAATGTACAGCGCTGAGCGAACTATTGGCGCTTTATAAATACTGTATAATAATAATAATAAATCCTGTATAATAAACATGCAGGCTCCCATTTTATGATTTTTTTTTTTCACATATTCAGGCGTTTTTGGCCTGATAGATTTTAATAAGAGCTAATTTATTCATTAATTACAGGTACTTATATAGCGCCGTCAATTTACGCAGAACTTTACATATATATTGTACATTCACATCAGTCCCTAACCCTCAAGGGGTGTACAATCTAAGGTCCCTAACTCACATTCATACATACACATACTAGGGACAATTTAGACAGGGGCCAATTAACCTACCAGCATGTCTTTGGAGTGTGGGAGGAAACCGGAGTACCCGGAGGAAACCCACACAGGCATAGGGAGAGCATGCAAACTCCAGGCAGGTGGTGCCATGGTTGGGATTTGAACAAATGACCCGAGTACTGCCAGGTGGAAGTGCTAACCATTTTAGCATTTTTATTGTACTTCCATCTCACTGATCTCACCCCAGATTAGACAGGCCAGATCTAGCCCTGCTCACAAGAGATATTTTGTTATGCTCAGCAAACACACTTTTAATGACAATTATACAATGTTTTCATTTATTTCAGGCACTTGTACAGCGCTGTCAATTTACGTAGCGTTTTACATATATATATATATATATATATATAGTACATTCAAGTCAGTCGCTAACCCCCAAGGGGCGTACAATCTAAGGTCCCTAACGCACATTCATACATACACATACTAGGGCAAATTTGGACAGGAGCCAATTCACCTACCAGCATGTCTTTGGAGAGTACCTGAAGGAAACCCACGCAGGCACAGGGAGAACATGCAAATTCTAGACAGGTGGTGCTGTGGTTGGGATCAAAAACAATATATTTGTTTTTGTGCCTGAAGAACACCTCTCCCTGAACTGCTTCTCTCATCTTACTCCTGAAGATTGATACATGTGCAAAAACACTTCAAAATCACCATGACTGTGCTCAGGTGGGAATGCAGGCTACATTGATGCCTGAAGGCTTGTGCGGCTCAGGGAGTACGCAGCGCGGCGATCGCCGGTGCGCTGTGTCCCTCGGACACAGGGGATCATGGAAAGAGCGGAAGATGTCGGCTCGGTCATGTGATCAGCTGTGTCCAATCACAGCTGATCACATGTAAACACGGAAATGCCGATTATCGGCATTTCTCTCCTCTCGAGCTGTCATGCTGACAGAGGAGAGCCGGGAATCGGCTTTCCGCAGAGGGGACATGTACACTGATCATCAGGGTACTGATGATCAGTGTGGCCCCAGAAGTGCCACCTGTCAGTGCCCATCAGTGCCAGCAGTCAGTGCCCATCAGTGCCACATATCAGTGCATACCAGTGCCCATCTGAGCTGACTATCAATGCCACCCATCAGTGCCACCTATCAATGCCAATCAGTGCCACGTATCAGTGCTGCCTTTCAGTGCCCATCAGTGATGCCTGTCAATGCCCATCAGTGCAACCTACCAGTGCCTCCTCATCAGTGCCCCCTGTCAGTGCCCATCACTGCAGCCTCATTAGTGCACATCAGTGAAGGAGAAAAATCACTTATTTACAAAATTGTATAACAAACTAAGAAAAAACTTTTTAAAAAAAATTTTTCAGTGGTTTTTGGTTTGTTTAAGAAAAAAATAAAAAACCCAGAGGTGATTAAATACCACCAAAATAAAGCTCTATCTGTCTCAAAAAATGATAAAAATGCCATATGGGTACAGTGTTGCATGACCGCGCAATTGTCATTCAAAGTGTGATAGCGCTGAAAGCTGGAAATTGGCCTGGGCAGGAAGGGGGTAGAAGTGCCCGGAGGGCAGGAAGGGGGTAGAAGTGCCCGGAGGGCAGGGAAGGGGGTAGGAGTGCCCTGTAGGCAGGAAGGGGGGCCCTGTAGAAGTAGAAGCGCCCGGTAGGCAGGAAGCGGGGTAGAAGCGGCCTGTATGCAGGTAGAAGAGCCCTGTAGGCAGGAAGGGGGTAGAAGAGCCCTGTAGGCAGGAAGGGGGTAGAAAGCCCTGTAGGCAGGAAGGGGGTAGAAGAGCCCTGTAGGCAGGAAGGGGGTAGAAGAGCCCGGTAGGCAGGCAAGAAGGGGTAGAAGTGCGCCCGGTAGGCAGGAAGGGGGTATAAGTGCCTGGTAGGCTAGTGGTTAAAGCCCAATTTGTTCGGTAGAAAGGTTAGGGTTTTATTACTTTGACCCCGTTGTTGACTCTTCTCTTCACATCTTGCCCTGGTGGAAGCAATTCACTGCTGGCATTTGGAATTCATTGCATTTACTGCTGACTGTACAGGTTTTTATAGGGCTCAGGCACATGGGGTATACAGTACTCCTGTGATCAGATCCATAATTTCTACAGATCTAAATACAGTAGTATTGCATTCTATGGGAATATGCAAACTAGTTCAAATATGGGCAGCACAGTGACTAAAAGGTTAGCACTTCTGCCTGGCAGAACTTGGGTTGTTGGTTCGAATCCCAGCCATGGCACCTCCTGCCTGGAGTTTCCATGTTCTCCCTGTGCCTGCGTGGGTTTCCTCCGGGTATTCCGGTTTCCTCCCACACTCCAAAGACATGCTGGTCGGTTAATTGGATCCTGTCTACATTGGCCCTTGTATATGAATGTAAGTTAGAGACCTTAGATTGTACGCCCCTTGAGTGTTAGGGACGGATGTGAATGTACAATATATATTTAAAGCGCTGCGTAAATTGACGGCGCTATATAAGTACCTGAAATATAGAAAATATTGGTCCACAGTGTAAAGCTGCATAAACCAAAAATGGAAAACTGCATTCCAAAAACCTGTTCAGAAAGTGTATTTATTGCTTTTGCACATGAAAAACATTTGTGTTTGTTTACAGAAATATACTTTATTAGTCACCTTTGCTTATCAAGGTTGATATGTAAATGCCGTGACTGTGTAATCAGCGGCATCTGCATTGTTGATTGCACTTTATTGATATTAACATGTCAGTCCTGAATGGCCTCCTAGGATACTTGACCACAGGCCTGTGCTAGACTATTTTTCGCACTAGGCAAGACCAGCTACTTGCACCAACTCCCCCCCTCCCCCCCCCCCCCCCCCCCCCCCCCCCCCCAAAAAAAAAAAAAATTTTTTTTTTTTAAAGAGAAGAAAATATTAAATCAACAAAGCTTGAAACTGCTACATTTTTATTTTAATTTGCAAAAATAAATGTCTCCTAGATTGTAAGCTCGAAAGAGCAGGGCCCCTGAACCCCACGTGTATTGTATTGTTACTGTATTGTCTCATGTTCTGTCCCCCACTATAATGTACAGCGCTGAGCAAACCAGCACCAATATAAAAATCAGTGTCACAAATGGACTGTATCTGTTGATGGCAATGACAGGGTGACAGTTGCAGTGAGTGAAGGATCTACACTCTGACAGATCCCTGGCTGGAATTCCCCAGGCAATGGAAGGAGATAAAACGCTGTGACAGCAGGCAGCTGAACTGAGCGATCCCACCAGTGACAGATCCCACACAGTGACAGATCCCACACAGTGACAGATCCCACACAGTGACAGATCCCACACTGTGACAGATCCCACACAACACGCCACCACCAACAATGACACAGATCAGCAGGCCCAACAGGCACGAGAAGAGCAAGCTGTGGGAGCGTGATGGCGTCATCACTCACTGACACATGGCACATGTGATGGCTGGCCTAAGTTATAACTATTGTGTCTGTACCATAAGTTATTTTCTGAGATGTATGTATGTGAAGTAAGACAGAGAGGGCCGGGTGATGGGTAGGGATCTGTAGTCCAGCAGGCAGGCCTGTTAACACTGTTTGAAAATTTTCAGTTCAGCAGATTCACTATGTTGTCGACTAAAACAGGAACTTAGGAGGACAATGGATTTCTATCCTATCAGTGTGTATTTTTCTGTACTTTGTAGTGTTTTAATAGGATAAAATAAGGGGAAACATATATGTATTGCAGTGATGTACTATATATTTAATTTTATTCTGACCGTACACTTTAAAAAGGAACTAAATCTGTTGATGTAACTTTCCAAAAACTGTTACATTCAAGACATGCCTTGAATGATAACTGTCATAGTTGCTTGCGTCGTCCACCAAACTTGTTAAGCCATAAAAAGGACTGGTTGTCAGGGACCATCGCGACGCATGGGTCTACACATGCGTAGGTGTCTGTCAAGACGTGCAGGTAGCAGGACACTAGGACCCAGGCGCACCTGTCGTCTTGACAGTACTAGGCAGGCACTGGGACCTAGGCTGCGCCTGTCAGGTGCAGGGCGGGCTACTTAAACCAGCCCTGCACAGACACTTGTTGCCGAATGGTCTTTTGTATCCTGTTGCCTGTGTTGTGAGTACTCTGATCCGGATTGTCTGACCTTGTTGCCTTCTCCTGTCCTGACCCCTTGGCTTGCCTGACTCTGCTCCTGGATGTTCCCTTATAGATCCGATCTTTTGGTATTGACCCTGCGTGTGACCTGACTATCTTTTGCCTATCGTCTTGTACCTCACCGACCCGCTAGTTATCGACCAGGATTGTTTGACTCTGACTTTGCATTCGTCCATCAATCCCTCAGGAATCCCCTGGGCTCCCTCACATCAGACTCTTAACCTGCTGGAGCCCTTGGCAGACTCCTCTACCTCTGATAGAGATACCTAGCAGCTGCGACCTGGTCCCGGAGCGCTCCAAGTTCATCCCCACCATCAGGGGCCCTGGTGAACAAGTGCTCCGGTACTTAGACCCTGTACTCTGGGGAGGCTCTATCAGGGGACTGATAGAGGTGCTGTCAGGCGGTCCGTTACACTGGTGTTATAACTGATCACTTATGCAGCACCATGACAACTGCAGATCATAGTACCCCTTCTCATTCACAAAAAAAGAAAAAAGTAGTATAAATAAAGACATAAGTCAGTTTTTGACAAGTCCTTTATTAAAAAAAAAATAAAGGAACGCCTGCTCCACAGGGGCAAATGGATGGCTGGTTAGAACCTCTAGGACTAAGGAGAGATCCCACCTAGGAAAGGTAGATCTAGCAGGTGGACAGATGTTCAACACTCCCGATAAATCTGATTTACAGAGGATCCTCTGCCCACTTTGTACTGGTTGCTACTGATATTTCAGCCACCTGAACTTTGAGCAGGCTCAATACGAGGTCCAAATCAAGACATGTCTGAAGGAACCCCAATATCTGTGGTCTTCATGGAGAAATTGGCTCAAAATCTCTTCCTGTGGCATAAAAAACAAATGTGTCCCAAATGTTTGCATACATAGTATTTGTTGTTGGTTTCCTAGCCTTAAGAGTGGATATGACGTCTGGGGGGCAACCTAGGGATTCAAACCTTCTCTCAGCTTCCATTCTCGAAGGTCTAGCTTCTGCTGGTTTGGATGAGTGAATCTGCCTTGTCAGAAGATTATTATTATATAGGATTTATATAGCACCAACAGATTGTACAGTGCTTTACAATGTGAGGGCAAACTGAACAGTTACAATACAACTGAATACAGGAGGAATCAAAGGGCCCTGCTCGTTAAAGCTTACAATCTAAAAAGGGAGGGTCAAGTGATGCAAAAGGTAATAACTGTGGGGGATGAGCTGATGGAGAAAATACATGTACAGTTAGGTGGAGGCAGGATAGGCTTCTCCAAAGAGGCACTTTAGGAGCACTGATTTTCAGCCATGTGTCTCCCCACACAGCCCCCCCCTTCAGCTCCCAGGGTGAGAGGTTGGAGACTCATCCCTCCTATTAACACTGAAAGTTTCCAGACTCAAGGGACCCATAGACTACAGAAACACAGGTGAAACTGCTAACCAATTTCCCCTCTTTGTTGGCACTTCCCTGAAATCTCTCAGCTAGGGCTCTCAAAAGGAACAAAAATAACGCCACTCCATGACGTATCCATGGCACCTTCTACACCCCAGATAGACCATACTCTGTGTTAGAATCATTTGGCTTTTTTGGTAGTTTATTAGCCACCCGACTTCTGTTAGACTATAACAGGACCTGTCTGTGGGAGATGAGCTGATTCAGGTTGTTCGCTAAGAAGAGAATGTCGTCTAAAAAGTGGTATAACCGGAGTCCCCTTTCGGGGGCTAGGATCGAGACTAGCACCTTTTGTGAACACCCTGGGAGAGGTACATAGACCAAATGGAAGGCATTTTAACTGTTAGTGGACTTGACCCACTGCAAACCTTAGGTATTTTTGAAAGGTACAAACAGATATGCATCATGGAGATCTATCAAGACTAGCCAGTCTGCTGGCTAGAGAGCTTGAATAATTGACTGAAGTGACTCCATTTTGAAGGTTTCGAGGTGTGTGTATTTATTGAATCCTTTCAAGTCTATCATGGGCCTCCATCCACCTGTTCTCTTTTGGACTAAGAACAGGGTGGAGTAGAAGCCCGTGAACTGGGACTTGGAACTGGAATGGCTGCCACCTGGAACTGGAGGGAATGTTACAAACTGCTTTAAGGCCAGTG